AGGAAGACTCACATAGAAAAAATGTGTCTATTCTGACTCTAAAGCCACATTTAATAGGTAGATAGTCATTCTATTGTACAAAAAAAAAAAAAAGACTTTAATATAGGTAGTATTTTTTTCAGTGTCAGGAAACACAATGTATCATTCCTAGGGTTTTTAATTATTTATGCACTTATCATTTATCTATTTTAATATATAGTCTTTTCCTGTGTGTTTTCCCCCCCCTTTTTCTTCTCGCGTGGGTGTCCACGGTCCCCGCATCCACCTCTCGCCCCGCTCATTCCTCCTCGTCGTCCTCCGCGTCCTGTTTTTCCTGGCTGTTGGAGCCGGAGCAGGCAGTTTTATTTTCTTTTTTCCACTTCATGCGCCTGTTCTGGAACCAGATTTTGATCTGTCTCTCGGTGAGACACAGCGCGTGGGCGATCTCGATGCGTCTCCTCCGCGTCAGGTACCGGTTGTAGTGAAATTCCTTCTCCAGCTCCAGGGTCTGGTACCGGGTGTAGGTCTGGCGGCCGCGCTTTCTGTCCGTGCCTGGGACATAAATACAGGTTTAGATCAGCTGGGAGGGGGGGGTGGTGGTTTAGGGGAGATGTTTTGGGGGCTCCTGGCTTGGTTTGCTCTCTCGCTTTCGCCTTTGGGCGCTGCCCCCACCCACCGCGGTCCCACGGGGGGACAAACCCCTCGGAGGGTCTGTACAAGCTGGGACAACCCTGCTTTTTATTTGCGAAATCGACTCGTTCTGCTCTAGGTTTTTCCCACCTCACTCTCCCTTTTCTCAGTCCCAAAAACACCCCAGTTTTAATTTCCCTTCATCTCGGAAAAGCCTGCAGTGCGTTTTGCTTTTCTCTTTTTTTCTTTTTGTCTGCCTGTGCGTCTCTCCGAGTGAACAACAAACTTTAGAAAGTTTCCTGCTCCCGTAGGACCCCCTCAGACTCCGACCTCCTGCTTTAATTTTCATTTAGACACTAGAAATTTGGGGTGGTTGGGGAAGAAATAGAGAAATAGAGTCGAGCCAGAGCGAGAAGAGGCATCTGCTACCTACACAAATCCTACTATTTGTCCTCTTTTAAAGCTGTCATCAGGGCGCCTGCTTGGAAGGTGTGTGATGGTCTTAATTATTTCAGGGGCTGTTTTAGGCACAGAATTTACTTCTGGGGCTGGCAAGGGAGCTTCTGCCCCCCAGGCTGCGCTCCTGGGGGTGTCTGCAGATGAGAAGTACCTCAACAGAGCCCGGGCTCCCCGCCACCCTCCAGCTGCCTGCGAGTGGGGTTTGGAAAGGGCCCAGCTCCTAATTCCCCCTTCCACCCGACATTTCCTGCAGCCCCATTGGAAATAATTCTACAATATGGTGTTTGTGATCCTCACTCTATTTTCTATGTAAATGCGATGTATATCTATAGCATAACGGATTCTTTCCCAGCTCAGTGGGGATGAACAGCAGCCCCGGCCTCTCCTCCACACATTCCACTGGACTCCCCTTCTTTTTCCCTTTTTTACACCCCCCACCCCCCCTTTCTTTTTAAAAAGAAGAAAAGATCTAGTCATTAAAAGGAGAGGGGGAGAAAAAAAGAAGGCAAAATAGCCAGGCTAGCTGTAAAGTAAAAATGTGCAGGTCGTGGAATGTGGGTTGTAAAATCCGCTGAGGGGAGAGCCATAAACTGCTGCTGAATAGGGATGACAACTCTATCTCTGCTCGCTGATGAAATTCCACAAGCGCGATCGCACAGTGGGCATGAGG